ATATTTAATATTATTATATATTCAATATATTATTAATTTAAATATTATTACATGTTTTCAAAAATTAAACCACCAAACGAAGTTTCAGTTTCTTTTAAAACTGAAATCAATCTCTGAATAAAACTACCAAACGCATTTCAGAAATAATTCCAAAATGAAAATGAAAATGCTTTCTTTTCTATTTTCATACAGAAAATAAAATCATTTTGGAAACAATTCCAAACGCACCCTTAGTTTTTTAATCAGAGAAACATTTGTATTTTGATTTCTTAATGACACAGGAATGTATTTATCATTATACTAAGAACACAAGTTTGGTGCAACTCATTGCATGTTATGATTCAGCTATGGAAGAAAAAAATTCATTGTTTTATTAAAGAAGGAAAAATAATATTAATTGTGAAAAAAAACTATCATGACACATCAAATGTTGACCTCCTTGGACCTTAGTCTTATAAAACATTTTTGTTCGAGGCAGTAAACTTCAAATACTGTACTAGAGGCCTGTTTTATGATTTTCGTCTTTCAAACAAAATTCCCTCGTGCATTTGATAGATTTATTTTGCCATTTTTGCTTCTAATCTTTGTACTCATTCAGATTCTGTAATTGCATGACGTAGCATTACAAACTAGCTTAGCAGAAGCAATATCGTTCTGTCATCTGCCTTTAAGAAGGGTCATGGGGTGTAACTCTTTCCACTGCATGAATCCATTAAGCCTCAGCAAAGGTAAGTTTCGACAAAGTACTCGTCAATGTCGAGAGATTTTATTTGTTGGACCAGTTTACACTACGCATCATGAAATCGCATGTCAATGCGTCGGTTTAGGGGGAAGAAAATACAGACGTCAAACTTGGCATTCTCTAAGTTGACACAAACGTAATCCTGAAACGTAATTTAGTTCCATCTGCTTACAGGCATGTTTATTCATTGTATGTATATACATTTTGCATCTCCGGCTTCAGGAAAATGACAAGTCGACTTTTGCGAATGAAGTGCTTACATTAAGCCTGCAGAAAGGATCAGGCATTACAGTTTTGCCCAGAAGCGGGTTAAGCTAGCTTCAATTGATCCATGTGGTTCATCTGTTGGCAAATAAACATCATCTTCGAACTGCACAAAGCATGAACTGATTAATCATAACGGAAAATATATTCATTTACAATGCCGAAGCTGAGCGTGCACAATACAAATAATCTAAATGCATTGTTCTTCCCACGAGTAAGGACTAAGGAGATATTGGAAGCAAAGAGAAAGGCTACCTTCACAATACTACTATCCTTGCTTGACAGATTAACAGGTAAGAAATGGAGGTTTGGCATTTTAAGTTGCACGGATGATATGTCGGGAAACCTGAAAATACAAAACATTGAGAATTCAATTTAACATTCTGCCGCATATAAGAGCCAGCATATGAGTCTGTATGCAACTATCACGGAAGTGACCTGTTGAGAGCAGCCTTTGCCATTTGATAAAGAGTACTTTGAACAGATGGGCTATAGACACCCTCTTTTGGAGGACCCAGAAAAGTGTCCACCAATACTTTTTTCACATCCAGATATCTCTCCGTAAAGTAAAGCGGCTTTTGAGGAATGCTAGAGACAGATTCATACGAGTACCTGCATCTCACACATCACATAATCATATCGTTTTATTCTCCATAGAAAGATGAAATTGTTATTGGAACCAAGGATTTCATCAGGCATTATGCATTAGAAGGAACGAAGAGTGAACCAAATATGAGTTGCCGTTCTTGAATCATTGAGCTCACTAATCATGGATAGATTCATACCTCCAGGATGCAGTTACCTCTGTTGCGAGAATCCTCTCTTGTGTCTCAGGAAGGGCTGTGTATTTATCCCTAATAAACCCCTCGAAACCAGACTGATGATAGAGGGGGAAAAGGAAAAAGAAATGAAAGTAATCAATAGACAAAGTAGTGCAGGTCAAAACAACAATTGAAAATTGCATTTGAGTGCATTCCCTTATTATATGTGCTTTAAAATGTTTGTTAAGCGTCAATGTTTCTCACTGTTACAGTTTTTGGTGTATGGATCATCACGCCCTTAACTATAATTTCGGAGACAGAAGATGAGAGAGGGACAATCGACTCCTAGTGCTTATTTTGACTATAAGAATCGTGCAACAGATAACTTACCTTTGTTGTCTTAAGTAAAGCCAATCCTTCAACACCAGAAGTCAACTTTAGTAAGCCAGACTTCTCTACTATTACCTCTGTTGTATGCCTTTCAGATCCGAGTTTAAAACCTTCAATGGAGAAGAAAAAAAAGGGGGG